GTTGATATGAAAAATGAAACTTATTTTTACTAAGTGAGGAATCTTCCAACGAGAGATGGTACATGTTTTTGAAACACCCTGTATACAAAATAAATCCCAGTATCCTCTTAGTCACAAACTCAGTTCCCACAAAAAAAAATCCTCTTCGCGAACATACAGTGTGTGTTTTATTAATTTTTATAACTAATATAAATAAAAATTCAAATTAAAGAGTATCATAACAGATGCGTGTATTAGACTAATTTCTTTTTTATCGAGATATTTTATACTTAATTATTATTTCACAATAAGATCTTACTTTTAAACCAAGACACAATTATTATTGTACCATCCAGTACATACATTGCAATAATAACCCTGTTCGCCAGTTATTATTTCGGAACCGTACACAAACATATCGCTTCCACATAAAATAAATCCCAGTCTCCTCTAAGTCACAAACTGTGTCCCGACAAAATGGAATTCTTCCTTGAGTTAACGCTCGGCGGAAAAAGTCCCCAGTATTCCCGAATTTCCATAAACGCTGTATTGTTGCTACGACGTATATTTTCAAAGAATATATTCCGCATTTTGTGGCCATGGTGGTGAGGGAAGGAAGGCTTTTGTTGGTGGAAAAGGGCTGCGACAATCGGAGTATAAATTCTTTCCGTGTACACAATACAAATTTTTGTACAAGGATATTTTGTGGGAAAAAATTACACAAGAGTAGTACGATGTAAGTTAATATGGTATTAATAAAGACACATACACAAAATTAGAGGAACGGGTAAAATTTCCATGAAGTTTAACATCAATTTTCGCTCAAACCCTACGCTGGAGTTCGATGTTTTTTTTGTAAGTTGTATAGTCTCTACAACGATTATACCTGGGCATACGAGGCTTTGGGCTTAGAGCTGAACATCGAGGAAACTAAAATCATGTGCACTCTCCGGAAGATCATAGAAATGCTATATAAATCAGAGAATAACTATTGGAATATGTAGGAATTCAATTACCTCAGCAGTTTGATTTCGGAAAAGGCCAATATCGACTCTGAAATTCAGCACAGGTTTAGTAGCGCCTCAAGAGCATTCTGGAAATTGATTTGACTTGAGTACAAAAACGTACAAAAACGTAACTTGTAGTGTACCGGGCAAGTTACATGAAAATGAAACCTGGATGCCGTATCGCCGACACATAAAGGCATTAAACAAGTTGCAACAGAGACACCTTAGACAACTCTTACGAATTAAATGGTTCCACCATATCTCAAACGTATCTATCCCTAAAAATGCTAGCTGCGAGAGCGCTGAAGTCATGATTACAAAATCTGACTTAAGATGGGCTGGTCACGTATGCAGGATGCAAGAAAACTGCCTACCAAAATATTTTCTTTACGGTGAGCTTGTAGACGGTAAGAGGAAGCCGGGTGGACAACTCACAAGGTACAAGGATATTCTCCCATTACAAATAGGTGTCATACTGACATCAAAATCAAATTTCTAGTGTCAAAAAAACCTCAGACACTATTTTTCATCCAAATATTGACGTTACTTCAGAAATTATTTGGAAAAGATCGAAATAAAAATGAAACTCTACACCCTGTATCTCTGAAACTAAGCATTTTAGGACATATATTTATACGAACTTTTTTTACTTATTTTTATCTGCAGAATGTGTTACCGAACTTTCCGGAATACAGTTCGGACCACCCGGTATAATATCTGTCATGCATCTTTCACTGTTGGTTTAGGCAATTTAATAGGTCTATCTCAAAAAGAACCTCATACTTGGATACATGGAACGGAACAAGACATGGACGCAGATGCATATGAATTCAACTTGATGTGACAATAATTATTGTCAAACATTTGTCAAATATCCAGCGTCCTAAAAATTGGAAACTATTTGCGATAGTGCTTTTTTATTAATATAATTTATATAATAATTTAATATAAGTATTAGGTAGTAGGAAAAAAAAACAGTTTAGATTTTCTATTTAATGTTTATCTTTTTTATATACAATTTTTTATATACACTTTTAAGTGCCTTTTGAAACAGAATTTAAAAAATCTTCGAATAACTACCTTAAGAGTGCAAAAATTCCGAATACAATCGAAAATTTTTATATTTTATAACTCTATTTGAATATATCACATTCTCTTTGCTACTTCTTTCAGTACTCGTATATAAACTGATATTATCTCAGTATTATCAGATTTTCAAACCGACGCGACGTCTTTCAGTGGCTATTATCAGCTTTTTTTAAATAAGGCCCTGGATTATTGATTACGGATTTTAAAAGTTTCTAAGATCTACACACCAATGATGTATTGCATTTATTAAAAGAATTCATATTAATTATTTCAGAGAAGAGTTTATCAAAAATCTATTCTCTGTTTTGTCTAATACAATGTGTATTAGATATTATGGAAATGCCTAATATGTACCAAAAGAATTTTTCAAAAAAGTTCAATACAATTAAATACAATCATTAGGTTTGGGAACCAAACCAAACTAAAAATCCGTAATAAAAAACTTAAGGGCCATATTAAAAAAAAAAGAGAATAAAAGTTCATGATGGCATCACAAAGCTGAAACGTCAGACTAAAAATTTCATAACACCACCAACTATTCAAATAGATGTCAACAGATTTAAAAAAATTGCGGATACTCGTTTTTTCCAAACTTTTAAAAAATTTAGTATAAAATTGTGCACATATCAAAAACTGTTCTGTATAAAATATGAGACTATGGGTATTTTTAGAATTACAATTTATCATTCAACTAAACTGAGTTAAAAATGCATGCCATTCTTTTTAAAAATACAAGTGTTTAAAGTACTATAAGTACTAGGTGCCGACAAAAATATTTTTAAAACCTGCGTAACTGTTGCCTGTATATTTTATAAAAAAAACTGCAGTAAAAAGCTTTGTAATGTAAACCCTTTTCAGAATCCTGGATCACCTTATATATAGAATAATTTCCGAAACAAAAATATCAACTCTTTGAAGTAAATCCACTAAAATTGTTGTGAAAAGTAAAAATCATTACGTCGTATCTCCCTTGACGCCGGTCGCATGTCATATATTTTGTGAAAGGGATTATGTGCACACGGTATTTCACGAGTCTATAAACATTCTGAAGTTAGGCCATTAATCACTAATCGCACGTGTCGCGGCATCGCGTGCCCCAGCCTAACACCGAAAAGCCGCTAAGTAAATTTTGCGGTCGCTTTTTTACGTTCCCTTTTTTAGAAAATAAGGTCTTTGGCCCTTAATCGAAGAGGCTGGGTAGTTTGGCACACTGGACTAGTTAAGACTATAATATGTTGACAAAATCCACTCTAGAAGCATTTAGGGTATACAAAATTTAATTGGCAATATGATATTATGACAATAGTCAGCTTAAACCCCCTCATAATATTAAAAACAACATCAATAATAATTGAAAAATTTGTAAATTGTTGATGACCAGTTCATTTCGCTCTTAAAAATTAACCAGGAGATAAGACATGGTTCTAACCGAAAAACAATGTTTTAGAAAAATTTGCTCACGAAATTATTGCACAGGATGTTTTAAAGTTAAAGGTAAAGGAAACATTCGATTATCCCTGTAGGTATAATAAGCCAAATAGTAAAGTTTGAAAAAAATGAGTTTATAAATTAAAATAGATATATTTATATACAGTTTGCTAGAAAAGTGATGAAAATAGGACCAAAAATTAAAAAATATACAAATTTAAATTTGACAAAAAAAATCCGTTGCATTTTTTTACATCTGAATGTATGTAAATATAATTAATTAAAAAAATTAACAGAAACTCTTAATGTTGCTGGTGTCTTACTTAGACAAATTAAATGTAACAAACAAAATAACAAACAAAATATAAACAAACCGTTTATTTACTTACAGAATAATTTAACCACAAACTTAATATAATTCTCAAAATTCATAATTAACTCTTCACGAAAAAAATTTGGCATGACAGGCTTTAGAAAAACAATATAAAGTCGATTTCATAAGTGTGCTGATGAGGACCAGAAGCAAAGGCATGCTTTTAATGCGAAAATTATCGTAAATCGTTACTTTCTTCTTTAATAGCGAATATCAATAAAAATAAAGATATCGAGATAAAATGCAACTTGATAATGAAGTAAAAATGAAAAAATAAATAAATAAATATTTTCTGGTTAATTTTTATATTCATTCTTTCTTGAGAATTAAAAAAAAATATATTGAACATAACTTATCCTGGTATGAGACTCCTTTTCTTATAAAATATTTGTCTTTTGAAAATGTAGTGTATGTGTAGTATCACAGTATGAAATATACAAAAAAACAAACTTTTTTATTGTTAACTTTTTAAAAAAACGCACTCGCAATTTGTTCTAAAATGGATAACTCCTTTTTTTCCTACTTTTTAAAATTTCCCTACTAAATATGGCTAAATATTTTATATAGCCAAAAAATCAAAACGCATCATTATGGTAAAATCAATTTGTTTTCATTATTACTAAGTTTTAGTTTTGGTTTGGTGAGCTGTTTGTTGTAAGGACCAACAACCCCATATGATTACGTTTTATAACAAAGAGTGATTTGATCAATCAAACATGAACAATATTTTAATCAATAATAAAAAATAAATAAGTAAAAAATTATTAGATTAATTCTCCTCGCTTTAGTAGTCTACGAAAACTGTTTTAGCAACGTTTGTTTAGCAACTATTTATACAGGGTGAGTCTTAAAAAGTGCAAATATATGACGGCTGGCAGGCCTAGATAAAAGAAACGTATTTTCTCGTTACTGTTTTTCAAATAAGTCAAAAAGAACCAAGTTAGTTACTCCACACTGAAATTTACTTTTCTTAGATGTTTATTATCTACATAAGAAAAGAAAATTTTCAAAAAAATCAAGGATTGCATTTAAAAGAAACAATCACTGAATCACAAAATAGCACAAAAAATTATAGAGCAACAATAGAGCAATAAGAAAATAAAGGTATTTAAAGGAAAACTTACCATTTGGCGGAAATTCGTAGAAGTACGCTGATCTGGGACTTAAACACCTACAAAATAAAAACATATATTTTAGTATATATTTATACACCTAACGTACTAATATTTTTCGGTATATATATAAAATTAAGAGGGTTATCCAATTGACGTTTCTTTACTCTATAAATAAATAAATATAATTTACTATCAGTTATTTTTCGTTAATATAAACTCCATTTATTACATTTTTAAAAAGACTTTAATGATTTTGCACAAAAAAAACGGACACCTTGTCAAAATTATTTTTTTAGCTTTTGTTTAATTAAAAATTAAAGTTAACATCTGATTATTATATGAGAAAAACAAAATGTTGTTATTTTTTGAGAAAATTTTAAATAAGGAAATTTAAAAACCAGTTTATCATCAACGTGTATCTTACCTCGATAATTTGTATTTTTATTCATCTCAATTGCTTTTTTTTTATGGAGATATTCACTTCTGAAGATGAGTTTAACAATTAATAAAAATTTTAGCCTTAAAAGATTGCCTTTTTTTGGTCCTCATCAAGACACTTTATTGGTTTTCTAATGTCACTGTCATTGAGGAGTCATATTATTATTATTGTGTATCGGCAATTACTCTAGCAGAGATGCTTTTAATTCCAGAAATTGTATCGGCTATTGTTGCTTTAACTGAACATGATAGAGATCATCTTTTGAATTTAAAACCATCGCTCATACAGTAACTGCCAACAAACAATAATAATATGACTTCTCCATGAGAGGCTTCAGAAAAACAATTTAAAGTCGATTTCATAAGTGTGCTGATGAGGACCAGAAGCAAAGGCATGCTTTTAATGCGAAAATTACCGTAAATCGTTACTTTCTTCTTCAATAGCGAATATCTTCAATAAAAATAAAGTTATCGAATAAAGCACCTTGATAATGAAGTGGTCTTTAAATTGTTTACTTTCTTAAATTGGTGTTTCAAACTTTCGCTAAAATAACAATTTTGTATTCCATTTTTTTTATTAAATTTAGTTACAAATTACTTAAAAAATCATCAAAATCGACACACTACGACAAAATATATTACTTTAAATTACATAAACAAATTAATTTGTAATTTTTCATGACGTTCAGTGTATTTTCCTAATTAACACTCCAAAAATAAAACCCTAAAAGATATCAGTGGCTTTTAGATAAAGCTACGAAAAAACTGAGAAAGAAAAAAGCGAATAAACGTGGAGTGAAATCGAAAATTATACCGAATTTGCTGGAGAATTGGAAATCGAATTGGCTGTTCGGTTTGTTGGAACAGTAAAAAGTTTTCTGACCGAAAAGCAAAGTTTTGTTTGCAGTTATAGAAGGCTCGAGAGCAAAAAGAACCTGACAAAATGAAAGAGAGAGATAGAGCTTTGTTTACAATGGTTAAAAGTGTTCGATCGCATCTGGAAAGCTGAATGTCTATGAAAATCTCTGGCCAAGTTCGAAAGCTATTAAAATAGGATCGAGATGATTTATAAATGACCCAATTATTATTAAAACTAAGTTTAACTATGCTCTGTCTAACATACTCTCTGGCACTGAGTATGATATGAAAATTCTTAAAATATTTTATTGCATATTTATGTATTTTTTAGAGATTTCTTTTTAGCCTGTATGTTTTCTTTTTAAACATGTGTTAATGCACAGAGTGCCCCAAATTCGAGCCTCATCATTGTGAACTAAAAAAATTATAAAATATACATACGAGGTCAGTTAAATGGAGGCAACATTGCATAATTTGATGCTTATCAAAATGCCACCTTAAGAGTTGGGGGTTGGAACCTTTGGTGTTACAACAGCAAAATTGAAAACTAATTCGCCACAGTACACCAAAACATGTTGGTGTATTGTGGTGAATTAGTGTTTCATTTTACTGCCACCTTAAAGTTTAAAAATACCGAATATTTTGAAAAAAAAAATTGAAGAGAAAGATAGTATCAAGAGAAAATGTTAAGGGTGAGAAAAAGCATGTGGTTGTGTATAATATCATAGTATGAAACATGTTTAATACTTACGTTTGATAGTTATGCTGCTGATGTGATAATAATGGTTGAGTCATGGGAGGTGCAATGATCTTTTGCGATTGAGGAAGATGTATTTGGTTTGGTTTCAGTACAGGACCAGCAAAACCGTATATTTCATCCTCTTCTTTATGTGTTAAACAACTAGATGGCTAAAAATATAAATAAACAAGTTAGAACTAAAAATAGCTACAACAAATTACTCTAATATTAAGTAGAAATACGTCAAAAAAATGTTTAAGCAAAAAATAAAATATTTTCTGGTTAATTTTTTTATTCATCGGCCAATGGGGATTTTTCTTTTTTGAGAATTTAAAAAATGATACTAAACATAATTTATCCTAGTATGAGACTCCTTTTCTGATGAAAGCTTTGTTTTTTCGAAAATGTAGTACGTAAAAAATTACCCAAGCAAAAAATAAATAAATAGATATTTTCTGGTTATTTTTTATATTCATTCTTTCTTGAGAATTTAAAAAAAATATATTGAACATAACTTATCCTGGTAGGAGACTCCTTTTCTTATAAAATATTTGTCTTTCCAAAATGTAGTGTATGTGTAGTATGACAGTATGTGTCACCGTATCGTCTTTACAGAATGACAAACTTTTTTATCATTAACTTTTTAAAAAAATGTACTCGCAATTTGTTCTAAAATGGATAACTCCTTTTTTTCCTACTTTTTAAAATTTCCCTACTAAATATGGCTAAATATTTTATATAGCCAAAAAATCAAAACGCATCATTATGGTAAAATCAATTTGTTTTCATTATTACTAAGTTTTAGTTTTGGTTTGGTGAGCTGTTTGTTGTAAGGACCAACAACCCCATATGATTACGTTTTATAACAAAGAGTGATTTGATCAATCAAACATGAACAATATTTTAATCAATAATAAAAAATAAATAAGTAAAAAATTATTAGATTAATAATTCTCCTCGTTTTAGTAGTCTACGAAAACTGTTTTAGCAACGTTTGTTTAGCAACTATTTATACAGGGTGAGTCTTAAAAAGTGCAAATATATGACGGCTGGCAGGCCTAGATAAAAGAAACGTATTTTCGCGTTACTGTTTTTCAAATAAGTCAAAAATAACCAAGTTATTTTACTTTGAGAAATTAAAAAAAATATTTTTTGCTAAAAGGTTGAGAACCATTGAGTTTTATTTCTTGTAACTTTAATCGACTACACATGTTGCCATATTATCGAGAAATGATGTTTCTGGATTAAAAAAGATCTTTTTTTTTTCAAAAAATTCTAAATTTTTATTTTTTTTCGCGAAAAAACCTCATAATCGTGATTCTGGGGTCGAAATATACTACCCCTAAAAATATTTGCACTTTTTTAAAAACTCATCCTGCATAGGGAGGTACTGTATAATATCGGAACACAAAAAGGAACTAATACTATTGTATTTTTAAAACAGTTGAGTTCTTCGGATGTTGTGTGCTTTTCTGTTGATGTTATAAGGAGTTTTAGAACTTGATTTAGAAAAAATGGAGAAACTTACTCAATAATTTTATACACAATAAAAAAATTACCCTAAATATTACAACCTCCTACACACAGCCAAACTAATCATTCCCTTAATACCAAATTTCAAAAATGAAAAAGTGAGTGGCGTAACAAAATCACTTACTAAATATTTGCCTGGTACGTAGAGGGGTTGACTCTGTGACGACGTCATGCCCTGACTAGTGTTACTTCCCACGCTGTTCGTGTCCGAAGTGTTCGATTGTAAGCGCTCTCTCGTGGCTGATTCCGCCACCTCTGTTTTCCTAAGGTCCTCCAGATGACCTAAAACGTCACCGTAGTGTGTTGAAAAAAGGTCTGCGTACCTCGATGCCAGTCCTTCCAGGTAACCCCGTTCACCATCCTGAAAACAAGAGGAATTTATTATTAGTATATATTAATTACTTCAAAAATAAGAAAGCAATTTGCTTAACATTTAATTGAATAATTTTGCTTACGTGATCATCTGAGGAGTTCATATATTCCCATAATCAGAAGCAAAAAAAAGAAAAAGGTTCTAAAACTTCTTAATATATTTTTAATTTTTTTCTATCTTTTATACTATATGTAAAGAACCTCTGAAATAATAATGTTGTTTTGAAGAAAATACATAACTAAATTTTAGTAGTCCAGCTTCATAAGCAATGGCATATTACTGACAATTTTTTACCACACTGAAATCTAACATTTGTTTAAAGAAATTTATTACAAAAATGCCCGAAACCCGAAAAATTAATTTTATTCGATTATATTTTTTTGCTTATAGTGTCATTTGATTGCACTGGTTTCACTCTTTTTGGTTTGATTGGTTTAGTTATTTGGCGAGTTGGTTAGCTAGCTGCTTGGAGGGTGTTAATTCATTGGTTAGTTGGTTTTTCGGGTTTGGGAAATATTCCTTGCTCAAAACTAGATTTGCGTATTTTTTTCGGGCATTGCCCGAATTCGACTATTGAGCGTAACATATACATAACTTTATATATATATATATATATATATATATATATATATATATATATATATATATATATATATATATATATATATATAAAGTTATAGAATTTTACACAGAATCTAAAAATAAAATAAAAAATATAGTGTCGTGTTTAAAAAAAAATGAACAAATAAGAATAGCCTTAATTTGACATAATACAAATGATCAAAAAATTTTATGAGCGTAATGTCGTCCCAAAATCAGTTAATATTATTATTAATTAACTATAAAATTAACATAGTTGCGGCATCATTTTGATAGAAATCCTGTGAAAAGTGTATTTTCCTATTCATAAATAAACGTAAAAATTAGGTTTTGATTAAACATACGATGAGCGTAATAATCATGCAGCCGGATCCTGTACTACAGGGTCGCTGTTATGTATGGAAACGATCTATTATTAGGTAAAATATAGAAGGTACTGCAAAAAGTTAAATACAAAAGTTATAGTACTTTTAAATATCTATTAGCGAGTAAAAAATTTAAGTATACAGGGTCGATCGTAAAAGTTTATTTTTTTTTAAATTGAACCCCCTGTATATTATTGCATATTTCAATTCTTCCTTCAATTCTAAGCAAAAATCGAAATTACACACAATGTACCCATTTCCAACAACCAACCGTTTCCGAATTATTGAAATTTGACAAATTAAACAATTTGATTTAATTAATTTCGATATGTTCAGTTTCATTTAATGATGCCATTCTGCCGAAACTGTGATACTGTTGTAATGAGTTTTTAAATTCCTATTAGCTACTAGTAAATTTAAGTATACAGAGTCAGTCATAAAGTTGTGGCACATCAAACTTTATTTTTTTTAAATAAACCCCCTGTATATTATTACATATTTCGATTCTTCCTTCAATTTAAGCAATAATCGTAATACACAATGTACATAAATTGAAGAATTCAAATGTTAAACTGACTTGATATAATCTCATTTTATACATCTTTAAATACCTAACTTGAGAACTAATGCCAAATATTATTAAGTATCAGCGTTTCGGTAGAACGGCATCGTTAAATGAAACTGAACATATCGAAATCAAATTATTTAAGTAATATTTTCAAAAGTCAATAATTCGGAAACGGTTGGTTTGAAATACATTGTGGGTATTTCGATTTTTGCTTAGAATTGAAGGAAGAATTGAAATATGCAGTAATATACAGGGGGTTCTATTTAAAAAATGAAACTTTTATATGCCAGGACTTTATAATTGACCCTGTATACTTAAATTTATTACTCGCTAATAGATATTCAGAAATCCTATAATTTTTGTATTTAAGTTTTTGCAGTACCTTCTATATTTCACCTAATAATCGATCCTTTCCATACATAACTGCCGCCCTGTATAAATAGATTAGATAATATAAATTCTATTCTATTCTTTTATTTATAAAAAGTGAACATATATTTCTGTATTTTAAGTCCAACAATACCAGAGGATTATACGACATGAAACCCGCGTCAAGCACATATCAAATATGAAGCCCTACTTACTCCGGTATATCCAAATTTATTTTTAAGAACCATTTCAGTTTTCTATTCCGACGAAAAGTATATAAACGAGAACTCCATCCCAAGTAACAGTTCGCGCATTGCCTTAAACCCGGATGATAAAAACTTAAGCTCAAATATCCTTTTCAATTCCATTCTTGGCACAGATGCCACGAGACAATTTGCCATTCTTTCCGTTATTATTCGCCTTTTTCATTCTGTGTGGCGAGTCATCGGAAAAACTGGAAAATGACAATTCGAGATTTTCACGCGTATGGCGGTTTTAATGGTGAAAAATAGATGAAAGGATAGTAAGGGTTATAAGCTTATAATATGTTCATGTGGATCGGGAAGACCTAACATTTCAAGGATACAAAAAAAGTGTGTGCAGTATGTGCACATATTTGAAGTGAAACTTCTTATTAACAGCTATTAAATGGAGGGATTTAAAGGACATGTTTGAAAAAGTGACATTAAATGCTGTTTCAATATATACACAACCAAACTTATATGGAATCATCTATTATTTTTCATAATTTTTGAGATGAATGAAAATTTTGTGTTTATGTATAAAACTCCGTCCTTACCAATTACTTTTAATGAAAAATAATCCATATAGCAATAAAAAAAATTAATCAGTTCCCAAAATAAACAAAATGGTATTTTTTTGGTTTCTGAAATGAAATTAAGATTGTTGTTTAGTTGTGACTCTTTGACGACTTTGTCTGGGCCTATCCTTGAGTGTTCCTAATTCCAAGTACCTTCCATATGTTTTCGATGTTTCGATGCTACATCTCTCTGGAACATTCCTTGTTCGGTGAGAGCAGTAATTCTTCCCCTCTGTACAGGGTGGGTCAAATTAGACGCTTTTAAATGGAAACACCCTTTTCTATAGGAGATAGACAAAAACTAATATCGGTGTCTGGAGCTCAATTCTTGTCAAAAACATGATGGTGAAAACTGCATATCGATATCTGTTACCGTTTCGAAGTTACGGGGTGTTTTTCAAAAATATGCATTTTTAATCGCTGTAACTTTTTTGCTATAGAAAATTTTGTATTTTTATGAAAACATTTCCAAAGCACCTTTTTACGTAAAATTTAATGGTTTAAGTATATTTTTTTTAAAATTAATAATTTAAGAATTATCAACAGAAAATTTGATTTTTTATATGGGACACCCTGTATATTTTCAATTTATTGAAAAGAATTTAAAATTACCTTTCCAGAAATATACCACACTTGATATTTTGCTCGATTTCTCTTCGAGATATAGAGTATATAAAAATTCGTCCGCTTTAAATAAGTAGGCTTTGAACGGCACCGGCTGTAATGCAAAAAAAGTTTAGCTGTGAGCATCAATTAAAACGAAAATAATATTTGCTATGAGAGATCTTTATAACAATTTAAAATATATTTAACCAACATCCACACATTTAAACTATATCTAACAATAATCTAATAACTAATCTAACTTATCTAATAACAATAAAAATAAATAGCAAACCAAGACATGAGATTTTGCTACAGGTGTTTGACATATCGGCCGTTTTCTGTTATGGACAGACGGGGCAGTTTTTGAAAATTTCTCGCGGAACTCATTAACTCAGTAGGGGTGAAAGAGACCCTCTCATAACTATTAAGTATTTCTAATTCTTGTCTCGATTATACGGAAGAATAAGGAACCTTTATTCTTCCGCAAATATATCCATAGGATTAGATCCATGAGCACTAAGTTAGGCGGCCTCGACGGCCAACGGCTGGGATTTTGGTAAGCTATGAATTATTCTTGAAATTGGCTGCAAAAATTTGCTGACAACTTCAGCGTTCAGAGGCGATGCGTCGTCTTGCTGCAAAAATATATTTTCGGTTGTCAATCAATCAATAAGGGGTCAAAAGCCTACTAGTTAAAAGTAGCGAACTTTTAATAATTCTGTATTTCGAAGGGGATTATAACAAAATACCAAGTGTGCTATATTTTTGGAAAGGTAATCTTAAATTCTTTTCAGTTAATGAAAAATATAGAGGGTGTCCCAAATAAAAAATCAATTTTTCTGTTGATAGCTCTTAAATTATTAATTTTAAAAAAATTATACTTAAACCATTAAATTCTACGTAAAAAGATGCTTTGGAAATGTTTTCATAGAAATACAAAATTTTCCATAGCAAAAAAGTTACAGCGATTTGTTAAAAATGCACATTTTTGAAAAACACCCCGTAACTTCGAAACGGTAACAGATATCGATATGTGGTTTTCACCATCATGTTTTTGACAAAAATTGAGCTCCAGACACCGATATTAGTTTTCGTCTATCTCCTATAGAAAAGGGTGTTTCCATTTAAAAGCGTCGAATTTGACCCACCCTGTACATCTGTTAATCCATCATAAGGCATTTTTTATTTTTTTTTTTTGGATTGAATGAAAATTATCGGACAATCGTGATTTTACTACTGAACACAAAATTCAAAAGAAAATAAATCGCAGCAGTCGTTTATTCTTTATTATCATGTTTATTTACAAAAAAAAAACTTATCTTAAAGTTGTATACCAAGTTTTATCCTTGCAAGAAATTTAGTCAGAAATAAAGAGCGACTCCATATAAGTTTGGTTGTGTGTAAACATTGAGATGAACCGCCTATTTAAAAATAGGCATATTTCTTTAAATTCTAAACATTTAGACACTGTGTAGACATAAATAAAAATATTGATTTTCGAAATATTATTAGTGTTAACTAAAGAATATATTTCATTTTTATCAAGAGATAACTTTTAATTGGCATTGGATCTAGAGAGAAAAACATCTTTTACTTTTAAAGATCGCGCACACTATACCTACACGGACCAGTACGGACCAGCACAGCACAAACCTGCATC